TTTATTTCTTTGAAGCAAACACCTAGAAAGTTAATTGAGAAACCAAAGTGAAGGCTCATACCTAAGGCTTTTAAAAACAAATGGCAACTTCCTGTCTGAAATAAATGTTTATTTACTTTACCTCTTGTGTTGATTTTTTTCCCCAACTCTAGCCAAAATTGGGTAGTATTTTTCCCCCTACACTATTCCAATTTGAGAAGAAAAAAAAATGGTTTCTCTTTGTTCTGCTTGGCACATTTGTGAATAAAAGAATCATTTAATTTATCATCTTTGAGCTTGCTTAGTTGATGTCTATTTTCTTTTTCACTGTGCATATTCTTCACCCAATTTTCACTGCAATACTAACATGTCCTATTGATTTGCCAGATAGATGACATATCAACTTCTTTTCCACCATGTAAAGGAATAAAGATTTGTCTTAATTTTGTTTGAGGCATGTTAAAATCACAACATTTTAAACTCTCATATAGCAAAATCTATCAACCTTTTTCTCTACCATTGCCATCTTGGATATTTTGCTTAGAAAACCTTTTCACTCCTGTAGCTTTATCTCTACCTGTTTTTTGTTTGTTTGTTTGTTTTTTGATGGAGTTTTACTCTTTTGCCCAAGCTGGAGTGAAGTGGCACAATCTCGACTCACTGCAACCTCCATCCCACAGGTTCAAGTGATTCTCCTGCCTCACCCTCCCAAGTAGCTGGGATTAATAGGCACCTGCCACCACACCTGGCTAATTTATGTATTTTTAGTAGAGATGGGTTTTCACCATGTTGGCCAGGTTGGTCTCCAACTCCTGATCTCAGTGATCCACCCACCTTGGCCTCCCAAAGTGCTAGGATTACACGCATGAGCCACCGCGCCTGGTCAGTGTTAGTTTTTACATGTAACTATGTAGTACACCTAGACTTTGTTTTTACATACTTCATGATGTATATCTATGAACCTAGGTTATTTCTTCTTTCAAAATTAACCAATTGCTACAACACTATTGAGTTTTCATGCCTTTCTCTATGATTTGAAATCCCAATTTTCTCGTATTATAAATTTGTATATAACCAGGGTCTACTTTTTGGCTTCAACTGATGATGTTTTTATTGATCTACCTTCATATTCTAGTGCTAAAATAGAATTTAAGTTATTATAGCTTTAAATTACATTTAACAGCTGGAGTGTGCAGACCTTTTCACAACTGCTCTATTCAAAAGTTTTTTGATGCGTGTCATTCATTTTTTTTTTTCAAGTGAACTTTGAAATTACCTATCCAATCCCAGTCTGACATTTTATTGGAATTGAGTTGATCTGTACATTAATTTGGAAAGCGTTGGCATCACTCTAGTACTTAGTTGTTACATTATTTAGGAATTTGCCCAGTTTTGGTTTTCTCAAAAGATACATTTTGCCAAAAATGAAACAAACCCCTTGTGAAAAAAAAAAATAAATAACAGCTCACACTGAAAATTATCTCAAAGATCTAAATGAATTTAGTCCACAGCATGGTAAATATGTTTGCCCTGCAGGAGACAGAAGGGCCAGGGTTGAAGAGAAGCAGGTATGGTGAGACAGAGACAGACGCTGATCCCTAGCCCCACCCTCACTCCCACCCAGCATTTCCCTCTTGTCAAGGGAGGCCACTGTGATTCTACACCAAGAAGGATTTGAAGCCACTAGAAGATATATACATCATTCAGCACATTTTTGAAACAGTGGCATAGTATCACAGGATGCCTTCTGATTTGTGTGAGAGGGATGGCAAGTAGATTCCTGTTTTAGTGGCCATCTAAAGTAGCCACACACAAAATAAAATAAGACAAATTCAAAATTATGTATACTCTCATGCCTGTAATCCTAGCACTTGAAGAAGCTGAGAGAGGCATATTAGTTGAGGTCAGGAGTTTGAGATCAGCCTGGCCAGCACGTTAAAATGCTGTTTCTACTAAAAATACAAAATTTAGCCAGGTGTGGTGGTGCATGCCTGTAGTCTCAGCTACTCGGGAGGCTGAGGCAGGAGAATTGCTTGAACCTGGGAGGGAGAGGTTGTAGTGAGCCGAGATCGTACCACTGCACTTCAGCCTGGACAACAGAGCGAGACTCCATCTCAAACAAAAAAAAAAAGTTGTATACATCACAGCAGCATTCACAATAACCAAAAAAAAGGTAGAAGCAACCCAAGGGTCCATTGTCCATTGACAGATGACTGGATATACAAAATCTGGAATATGCCAACAATAGGATATTATTTCTTGCCATAAGAAGGAAGGAAATTCTGACATATGCTGTAACATGAATGAACCTTGAGCACATTACGCTAAGTGAAATAAACCAGTCACAAGATGACAAATATTGTATGAGTCCACTTATATAAGCCATCTAGAGTAGTCAAATTCAGAGTGACAGAAAGCACAGTGGCAATTGCCAGAAGCCTGGAGAATAGCAAGGATGGATAGTTGATGAATGGGTATAGAATTTCAGTTGTGCAAAATGAAAAGTGTTCTGCAGATTGGTTGCCCAGCAAGGTGAATGACCTTAGCACTGCTGACCTGTAGCTAGGTAACCTGTACACATAACATGGTTAAGACAGTAAATTTTATGTGTATCTTACTATAAATTTTTTAAAAAGCAATGTATGCTATACTCTTCTATTGTGTTACTGTGTAGGAACTTTATAAAAATACCTACATTTATTTAACGAATATGTATGGAGTACTCACTATGAGCTAGGCACTATCCTAGCAGCTGAGATACAGCCACAAGCAACATCTCTAGTCTTTGAAACTTACAATGCAGTGTAGGAAACAATAGTGATAAGTCAATACACAAATATTAGAAAACACTTGGCAGTGATAAGTTCTATAAAGAGAATAAATTAGAGTGAAGTGATACCGAGCTAATAAGAGGGCTACTTTAAATTGGATGTGAAAAGTTATTATTTTCTACGATATTGGGCACTCAAAATTGGTAAAACAGCTGTTGGGCTACTGGCCAACAAGAAAAACCAGGGGCTTTGTTCAATTCTGGCTGTTTTAATGCGATTTAAAAATAAAGATCATAGTTTAAGTTTTTTCATAGTTTAATTTTTATTCTATAACCCACCGAAGTGGATTTACCACAGGGTGATTATCAATGCTGTTCATTTCTCACTCATATTCAGAATTCTCATAGCGTACCATTGTAAACAAAATTGTCTTATCTGCTTAGCAAACACAGGAAAGGGTGTTCAGAGTTCCAGGAAGAAAAAGAGAAAATAGCTTTGGAGAAAGTAAAATAAAGACCTGGCAGAGGGAATCTAAGGATACCTCATCATGACAAACTGATATAATGCAGGGGTCCCCAAGCCCTGGGCCACTAACCAGTACCAGTTTGTGACTCGTTAGGAACTGGACCGCATAGCAGGAGGCGAACCGCGGGCAAGTGAGTTACTGTCTGAGCTCTGCCTCCTGTCAGATCGGTGGTGGCATTAGACTCTCATAGGAGTGTGAACTCTACTGTGAACTGTACATGGCAAGGATCTAGGTTGCCTGATGATCTGAGAACAAGTTTAGCCCAAAACCATCTTTCCCCCCTGAAATCCCATGGAAAAAATATTATCTTCCATGAAACCTGTCCCTGGTGCCAAAAAGCCTCAGGACCGATGATCTAGTGGACCTTCTGTCCTGGCCAAAGTTGGTAACGTGACTTTCCAAGATAAAGCTGTTGCAGAAGGTTGCAGCTTTGTGCGAGGTGGTTTCTGAGGCCCACTCCAGCCTGGGTGACAGAGCTAGACTCTGTCCCAAAATAATAAATAAGTAAAATAATAAAAAATAAATAAGGCACTCATTGTCATTCCTAGCGTTGTCCACTGTGGCATATTCAAAGTTATTTCAAACCAACATTTAATTAACTTTGAATTTTAGAAATAGTTTCAATTTTAAATGTTTATAAAGGTAATACGTTTTCATTATTAAAATATAGAAAATACAAAAAAAGTGTTGTTAAAGGATAACTTTTAGAAAAAATGTAAAAATCGTGACTTTCACACAAATATAAAATACATATGTGCAAAAGATGTTATTTAACTCATTATTGAATAAGAAAACCAGTATGATGTCAAAACCAAAACGGTTGGGCACTTGCCTGCAGTCCTAGCCACTCTGGAGGCTGAGGCCGGAAACTCACTTGAGCCAGGAGTTTGCAACCAGCCTGGGACACATAGCGGAACTCCTCCACCCTGTTTTAAATAAATGAATTAATTAATTAAAAAGGAAAAATAACGCAAAGAACAAAATGACATACATATGTCATTTGTATGTCATACTGGTCAGTATCCATTGGGCAATAATCATTCCACTGGGACAAACTCTTTGGCCTTGATGTGGACAAAAGTCATTTGCAATTCTACAAGCTTTCTGCAATGTATACAGTTGTAAAATAACTTACAGAGGAGAAAAGGCCACAGAGCCCTGTAAAATTAAATGAACCTGCAAAGAGTGCTAAGCAGGACACCCAGGAACACCCGCCCCTCTTTCTAGTCCCCTGGAAAGTCTTTCACAAAGCTGAAAAAGGAAGGGGAAATCCTCGTGTAACCCTTCAGCCCAGAAATACACTGGCATGGATTCTTGAGTCGAATTTAAACCACAGGGTGGAGACTTTATTAAGGAAATTAATCAGGTGCAACGCCCTGGTACACGCTCGTGGACTGGGTGGGCTTCCACACACTCACCCAGCGCACCTCCAGCCCCGGGGAGCGCTCGGGGCCGCTCACTTCGCTGCGAGTGGCCGTAAGTTGCAGAGCAAACCTGGGGGGCCACTGGGGACCCGCTGGGAGTGGAGGGCGAAACTACGCGCTTAAGGTCGACGGGCAGGGACGGGAGAAAAACTCCATGAACCGCCGAGCAGCAGAGAAGCTGCGCAGCCACCTGGTCGGAGCAGCGCCGCCTCTTTTCCCTCCCCGCCCACAGCCCGCGGGGCCCCGTGGGGCGGCGCGAGGAGGCAGGGGCGGGGCGACCTTTGCTCCGGCCCGGAGCAGTCCAGGCCAGGCGTGGCCCAGCCGCCCTGTGCAAGGTGGGGTGTCCCCGCCGCTCAGATCCCCATCTCGCCTGCCGCACTGGAGGTGGCCTCGCCGCTTCCTGCGCACACCTCGGGTCCCTCCCTCCCGGGCCCGGTTTGGCCCCGGCGGCCGCCCCTGGGCTCCCGCGCCTGGACACGCGGTTTCGGTCAGACCCGCCCGCGGGCTGGTTTCGATTAGGGCCAGTAGGAGGGCGGAGCCGCCGGGACGCGAAGAGAGAACTAGCCTGAGTGGGGACGGTCTCCGCGCAGGAGACAAAGAGCGTCCCTGGAGCCATCAGAGGGCAGGAGCTCGACCCGGAGCCCAGGGCGCCCGCGCTGATTTCGGGTCCCCGGAGCCCCGGGGCAGGGCCGGGAGAAGGCGACAGCGGAGAAGGCAGGCGGCAGGTGCGCCGTCGGCGCGGCGGGCCGGGATGCGGACGCCAGTGGTGATGACGCTGGGCATGGTGCTCGCGCCCTGCGGACTGCTGCTCAACCTGACCGGCACGCTGGCGCCCGGCTGGCGGCTGGTGAAGGGCTTCCTGAACCAGCCGGTGGACGTGGTGCTGTACCAGGGCCTGTGGGACATGTGTCGGGAGCAGAGCAGCCGCGAGCGCGAGTGCGGACAACCGGACGAGTGGGGCTACTTTGCGGCCGAGCCCGTGCTGGTGGCGCGGGCACTCATGGTCACCTCGCTGGCCACCACGGCCCTGGGGCTGCTGCTGGCGTCACTGGGCGTGCGCTGCTGGCAGGACGAGCCCCACTTCGCGCTGGCCGGGGTCTCGGGCCTCGTGCTCTTCGTCGCCGGCCTCCTCAGCCTCATCCCGGTGTCCTGGTACAACCACTTCCTGGGGGACCGCGAGGTCCTGCCCGCCCCGGCCAGCCCGGTCACGGTGCAGGTCAGCTACAGCCTGGTGCTGGGCTACCTGGGCAGCTGCCTCCTGCTGCTGGGCGGCTTCTCGCTGGCGCTCAGCTTCGCGCCCTGGTGCGAGGAGCGGTGTCGCCGCTGTCGCAAGGCGCCTTCCGCCGGGCCTCGCCGCAGCAGCGTCAGCACCATCCAAGTGGAGTGGCCCGAGCCCGAGCTGGCGCCCGCCATCAAGTACTACCGCGACGGCCAGCACCGGCCGCCGCCTGCCCAGCCCCGCAAGCCCAAAGTCGGCTTCCCCATGCCGCGGCCGCCGCCCAAGGCCTACACCAACCCTGTCGACGTCCTCGACGGGGAGGGGGCGAAGGCGGCCCCGTCCCAGGGCACCTCCTCGTGCAGCACCCAGCCCTACCGCAGCTCTCTGCCCTGCGACTCCGACCTCTAGACGCCTGGACAGCCTGGGGGTCGCGGGTGGCAAAGGACTCAACCCCGCACAGGCCCGCCTGGCTCCGACTTGGAACCCAGACACTTGTCCCTCGCTGGTGTGGACGGAAATCTTCCTTTCCTGGGACCAAACAGGACCCCTTCGACGATTAGTTCAGGCTGGGTTTGGTTTTCTTCTTCAAGAGTTTGGTTTTCCTCTCTAGAGGGAGCAGAGTCCTCTTAGGGAGTGACGGGCCTTTCGTATTTTTTTGCTGAAGAATATATGAAAAGGGTGGCATTTGCGTCACGTGGACCAGGGACAATAACTAGAGCTGAAGTCAGCAATGCTCAGAAACAGTTTAACACCTTGAAACTACAATATTCTAAAATACTGATGAATCTTGCATCAATATAATTATTGGTTTTGGTTTTTTGTTTGTTTGTTGGTTTTTCTTTTTCCTACTGTGTAACTCCTTACCATGCAAACTCTCAGGAGGCCAATATATTTCTGGCCATGTTTGGATGAGCCTCTTAAACTTAGAACCATGCAAATACCAGCAGTTTAATGGATTTTATGGAATGAAATAACCTGATTAACTCATAGCTACCTATCTTCATTGGATACATGGGATTTGTATTTTTTCTTACTTGTTTTTGCTGTGAACATTCAGGGCACACAAGAGTTTCTGTTCCAGAAGCAGAAGGAGAGCGAAGGTCCTAATGCTGTACTATTCCACCCTTTGGATGCCTCATCCAGGATGCAGAGGACTCTAGGTTTAACATTTGGTAAAACATTGAGCTGTTAATCACATTAAAGCACATATATATATATATATATATATATATATATTTTATTTATAAATAAAATTTTAAAACAACGGTTTCAGTAGATTCACAAAAGCTCTTTTGTCTTCAGTACAACCTTTGGGAGTTTAAGCATTCATTACTAACAATTTCCTGGCTGCACAGGCGCTTTTGTCTGAAATCCAGCACTCAAATCTTTGCACCTCTTAGCATAAGGTTACTAGAAAAAGCCAACGGGCCCCACTTAAGTCCCTGATTGCTTTGTTTTCAGGTTCATGCTGTTTTCTTTGCAAAGCCAAGCCTATTGTTGAGAAAACGAGAAGCACCAGTTTCCACTTGAGGTGAGACTGGAAATCTTTTCCTTTGTAGCAGTGGAGCTTAGAATCACAGGAAGGCAGATACATGTGTTCCATGAAGGGGACTGGGTCTCCAGCAGGGCTGCCTTCAATTCCAAGTGGTTGATTTAAGGGTGCCTTTAACTGAACTGAATCTCATCTTTCAAACCTACCCGTTCAGCAAGCACCAATAATGGAGTGCTATGATGGGACTGACTTAATAGCACACACTGCCTGCTAGAGTGGAAGGGATGAGAGAGATTCACTTCCCTTGCCATTTTGTGCTGGAATCACTTATTTCTTTCTGAAGCCCGACTTTAATGTGTAGGCCAGGCATCCCCAAACTTTTTACACAGGGGGCCAGTTCACTGTCCCTCAGACCGTTGGAGGGCCGCCACATACTGTGCTCCTCTCACTGACCACCAATGAAAGAGGTGCCCCTTCCTGAAGTGCAGTGGGGGGCCAGATAAATGGCCTCAGGTGGCCGCATGCGGCCCGCAGGCCATAGTTTGGGGACGCCTGGTGTAGGCTGTATCACTTTGGAATCTTTCAAATGCTGATTCTCATTCAGCAGATCTGGAGTGAGGCCCTGAAATGATTTCCTAACTAGCTCCCAGGAGATGCCAATGCTGCCAGTTCATGGACCACACTTGGAGTTGCAAGGCTTTCACGGGGACTGTCTCACTTGGATTTCAATCCCAACTGGTGGCTCATTTTCAGATCTTTGAGTACCTGCCACCTAGATGAGCCTGGGGACTTGCTTGAGGGTACAGAGCCAGAATGGAGAAAGTGCAACAGAGCTCTTTCACCTCTGAAGGCAGCAATTAAAAACCTGAGAAGTCAGGACCTAGCAGACACCATACAGACACTGGGCTTCTAGCAAATGCTGAATCTAGGGAAGCTTTGGTAAAAATAAACAAAACTGATGTTTTTGTGTGTTTTGCTTTTCTCCCCACCGCAATAATTCTCCGCTGCCTTATATGCAAAACACTCCCTGCCTGAGATTAGGATTTAGTTGCTGAGAGTTAAAACTCTACTTTTCCCCTATCAAGAGAAATAAAGCCAAAACTCCCCCTTAAAAAAATACAAATTCTAGGCCAAGCCTGATGGCTCACAGCTTAATCCCAGCACTGTTTTTTTCTTTTTCTTTTTGAGACAGAGTCTCGCTCTGTTGCCCAGACTGGAGTACAGTGCCTCGATCTCGGCTCACTGCAACCTCTACCTCCCGAATCCCAGCACTCTGGGAGGCTAAGGTGGGTGGATCACGAGGTCAGAAGTTCCAGGCCAGCCTGGCCAATATGGTGAAACCTCATCTCTATTAAAGATACAAAAAATTAGGTGGGCATGGTGGTGGGCACCTGTTAATCCTAGCTACTCAGGAGGCTGAGGCAGGAGAATCACTTGAACTCAGGAGGCAGAGATTGCAGTGAGCTGAGATCATGCTATTGCATTCCAGCCTGGATGACAGAGCAAGACTCTATCTCAAAAAAAAAAAAAAAAAAGCAAAATTCTTTTTGCTATAAAAATGTTCAAGACAGCCTGTAATCCCAGTGCTTTTGGAGGCCAAGTGGAAGGAATGCTTTAACACCAGGAGTTCAAGGCCAGCCTGGGCCACATAGCCAGACCCCATGTCTACAAAAAGAATTTTAAAAATTAATAAGGCATGGTGGCAACATGCCTGTAGTCCTAGCTACTTAGGAAGCTGAGGCAGCAGGATCGCTTGAGCCCAGGAGTTCAAGGCAGTAGTGAACTCTAAGCACACCACTGCATTCCAGCCCGGGCAACAGAGCAAGACTCTGTCTCTTAAAAAAAAAAAAAAAAAAAAAAAAAAAGGAAAGGCTGGGCTCAGTGGCTCAAGCCTGTAATCCCAGCACTTTGGGAGGCCGAGGCGGGTGGATCACGAGGTCAAGAGATCGAGACCATCCTGGTCAACATGGTGAAACCCTGTCTCTACTAAAAATACAAAAAAATTAGCTGGGCATGGCGGCACGTGCCTGTAATCCCAGCTACTCAGGAGGCTGAGGCAGGAAAATTGCCTGAACCCAGGAGGCGGAGGTTGCGGTGAGCCGAGATCCCGCCATTGCACTCCAGCCTGGGTAACAAGAGCGAAACTCCGTCTCAAAAAAAAAAAAAAAAAAAAAAAAAAAAAAAAAGTTCAGGACTACATGGAAAGAGACTCCTGTATCAGTCTGGGATCCACATTTGGCCTGAGGGTTATTATCTGTGTGTAAGAACGTATCCTAAACTTGCCCTAAACTTACCACTGATCAGCACTGCAGCCGCACCAGAGAACACACTCAAAGCACTGCTGTCTTGAATCAAGCCCTTCTGACCTCTGTCACCACCAGACTCATTTTTAATCCTCCCAATCCCCATAGGAATTATGTGTTTCCATTTAATGGATGAAGTCTTTTCACGATTACTCAAGTGATGCCAAGAGAACGGTGAGATCTGTGAAAGTAGGACAGAAACTGCTACCCATTTGCCAATCTGGCTCTCATCTAGACACACGCCCTCACGAAGGAGGGGTGAGGCTCTGAGCACACACCGGGTTATCTACTGTGGAGGCTGCGGAAGGTGCTGTCAAGGTGCTTTGGCAAACATCCTCCCCTCCACTGCATAGGCTGTTCACCCAGTATGTTTTCGGGCATCTGGCACTTTGCCAGGCTGCCTTCAGTGTGGAACTTAAATACTCTCCAGTGATCCTGTACAAATACAAATGAAAAAGATTAAGCCAGACTTTAATGTGTGTAGGCTGTATCACTTTGAAATCTCTTTCAAATGCAGATTCTAATTCAGTAGGTCTGGAGTGAGGCCCTGAAATGATTTCCTAACTAGCTCCCAAGAGATGCCAACGCTACCAGGGATGGAGAAAGAATGGTGGGTTTTGTTTTTGTTTTGCTTTGTTTTGTTTTTTGGAGACAGGGTCACTCTGTCACCCAGGCCAAAGTGCGGTGACAGGATCACAGCTCACTGCAGCCTCAAATTCCCAGCCTCAGTGGATCCCCCAGGCTCAGCCTCCCAAGTAGTTGGGATCACAGGTGTACATCACATCACCCAGCTTTTTTTTTTTTTTTAATAACTATTGTCACCTGGGTTGGTCTTAAACTCCTGAGCTCAAGTGGTCTTCCCACCTCTGCCTCTCCAAGTGTTGGAATTAGAGGTAAAAACTACCACACCTGGCCAAAGGTGGTGTTTTAGGAAAAGCAGTCAGGAAGAAGGAGGCGCTTGGGCAGAGAACTGAAAGAAGAAAGAGAGGAGTTTTTTAAACAAGAGGAACAACTTCAAGTTTCCACTAAAGAAATCATGAAAGCAGGTGAGTGTTGCGGTCTCGGTACCAGCTAGTTTTGCTTCTCCTTCATTCTAGAATTGAGTGGTAAGGCCAAGAAGCAGCTGGTGGTACAACGGGGTAAGCCTGAGTCAACCTTGTCATCTACTCTTTGTCAGGCTAACGGCCTCTTTCAGAGGGAATATCGGCTGGAACAAATTCAACCTGTCTTCTAGAATATTTCTGTAAGCAGGCAGGCAGGGTCTCCGGGGATACTAGGAATTTAAATGACTTAAGCAATCAGCCTGTTTTGCAGACTCCTGCCCTGCAGTCTGTTTTTTTCCTAGACCCTGCGTGGTCACCCACTTGGTTAAAAGCAGCTCCTGACAGACCCCAGCAACTTATAGATGAACTAGGTGAATTTTCCTCATCGCCATGCTATAGTCACCACCCAAGGGGGCAGCAGCTTCATGAGCATCACAGGTGACCTATATGCTGGCATGAGGACACACTGAATTGGTGCCACTGGGACCCTCCCCTGCATGTGATGCACCCCTTCCCCTCTCCATCACCCCTTAACACCTTTCTGTCACTTTCCCTCAGGGAGACATGGCTTTGGAGAATAATCCCAGTGCCCTTCTTACTTGTGCAAGTAATAAAACTCCTGTAGATCACACCTGTGTTCTAAAGGAGCATGGTTTGTTATTCACCAGGCCATCAAACCCTGAATTTTTGGGGTAACATTTCCAGAATCAAAAATAAGCACTTTCTTTTTTTTTTTTTTTGAGACAAGGTCTCCCTCTGTCACCCAGGCTGCAGTGCAGCGGCATGTTCTTGGCTCACTGCGGTCCTAATCTCCCATGTTCAAGCGATTCTCCCACCTGAGCCTCCCAAGTAGCTGGGACCACAGGCATGTGCCATCACGCCTAGCTAATTTTTTGCATTTTTTGTAGAGATGGGGTTTCACCATGTTGCCCAGGCTAATCTTGAACTTCTGAGCTCAGGAGATCCACATGCCTCAACCTCCCAAAATGCTGGGATTACAGGCATTAGCCATAAGCAAAAAATAAGCAATTTCATGTGGGATTAGTTCTCCATCAAGCAGGAATGAACATGTGAAAATGAGGTTTCATTTGTTCAAATCAAAGAAAATATAGACAGAGCTTAGCAGGGGGAGCAGTGCTGACAATGGGACTTGATTCTTCAGTGGCGTGTGGAGAGAACTGCTTAAGACTTGATTGAAGTGTGAAGCCATTTAACTCTTGTCCTACTGGTGGCCTGAGTTATACAGAGGCTCTGACAAGGTGAGCCGGCAGCCCCTCTTGTAAGCCAAAGTGACCAGTAGGTTGAGAACCTGGGAGGGCAGGAGTTGCTTTTCTCAGGCAGAGAGAAAGTGACATGTAGCCTGAGGCTGATGACACTCCCCATCGCCCCCCACCACCGCCCGCCCCCCCCCCCGTGCCCCCCCACC